AAATAAGAGTGTTTATGAATTGTTTGTAATGTTGGACATGTTTTTAAATAAAAAATGAACTAAACTCAGCAGAAAATTCGAGCAGTCAGAAATGAACGTGTTGGAGCTCTTTTGTTTTTGTCTCTGCCTTCTGTTTGAATCCAGAGCGCCTGATGTTTATGTAGGTGTTCGAAATGTAGCCGGTGAGTCAATGCCCGTCCTTTAAAGAGTGAAACCAAGCACAATTAATAATTCAAAAGAAAACAAGGTATTGCTTTGACAGCTTACTGTTTTCTCTGGTAATCCTTGTTTATGCGTGTCACTAATTGCACCCACACTGTTGTCCAAGTGTTTTCTCTGAGAAAGAACCATTAAGACAACAGATTTTCATTTTTTTGCTAAGCTCCACACATTTTATTATTCACACCAGAATGTGTGAAATTGAAGACACTGCTGTGTAGGAGTTTGGAGTATTTTTAAATACCAAACATAGCAAAATAAAAGAAACTGTCCATCTGCGACGGACCTATTTAATGACTTATTTATCTACATTTTAATCCACATAATGTAGCAAATTTTCACATCCAGAGTAGATTCATCTTTCTGCCTAAATGTTTCTCATTCATTGCATTTTACTGTGGTATGGCACTGTAAAAACACGAGGACAGTATTTGCTGGGAAAAGCTGAGTCACACAAAGACCAACAGATTTAGGAGGAGCATATGGGGAGCGATAGATATTACTGTGTAAACACATCTGCAAACTGCGTCAGTTTGCTGCTGTTTTTAATTGCTGCTGTACTTTGGACCTTCACTTTGTTCAGCTCACCTCATTCTCTTATTATCCCCCGGTTGAGTCTATAATATTTCTGCCTATTTGACAAAACGATAATGTTGAGCTACCACTAAAACTCCTAAGGGAAGAGCTCTGAAATGCTTTTTATGTAAGAAATGCAGCAATTATTTGAAATTGAAACCTGAGATTAATTTTATACAACATAGTGTAATGTAGCTAATGGTGAAAAAAAGGTGTGTTTGCAGGTTTAGTGCTTCATCTCACAGGTGAGCGCATTTGGCAGTTTCAGCTATGGTTTGGCTCAAATATTCTAGATTAAACCTTTACTTAAAATTGATACTTCTGCTCGTATTTGGGCTCTGTATTTATTGTTTCTCTGCTCAAACGCACCTAATGTGCATCAGTGGGTCAGCTTGTAATCTAGCACAAAATAAAATAAAAGACTTGGGTCTCCATATCACAAAAAATAAGAGTTACAAGAGTTACAATGATTGCTCAAACAGTCTAAACAACTATGTATTTTATTAACTTAAGACTGTACATACAGTATATACAGCGGGTAAAATAAGTATTGAACACGTCACCATTTTTCTCAGTAAATATATTACTAGAGG